AATTCTCGGACTGTCCCAACATACCTAGGTTTTGACCCCCTCTAAGGATCTCACTGATTTGCATATCAAAGACAGCCCAATCCGACACCTAGTGCAGTATCATAATCGAGTGTAGGGGTCAGGTGTAAAATTTCAGTTTTGCCCACTAATCACCAAGGTCCAGGGAAATACTGGAATTCTGCTCTGGTTCAGGGTTTCAAGTAAACCTACACTGAAACCCTGACAGCTGAGACAGCATACCCCAACCAACTTGGTGGCACATCAGTATTAGTCTTATCAGGATAAATCTCCCTAGATCTATCTAACAGCTGTGAACATTCTAAACTAACACGAGTCTCATATGTGTCCAATTTAAGGGTATTACACAGAAACACACCATAATAACATAAACCAAATATGTACTTTATTCATTTACATTAAATGTCATAAGGTACATCATTTCGATTGGAGCTAAGGGCATACACTGTCTAACAGCTCCCATCTCTGGTAAAGGGGATATAAAGACCTCTGACACCCTTTATTTATCCTCTGTCATTAATGTCCCCAAACTTAACACAAACATTTTATCTGTTAGAATCTTAACTAAATCCATGAATTGTAGGATAACCTTTTTTAGCACTCATTTTGTTTTTCAGGACCCGTAATCAAAGAGGATGATTGGAAGTGGCCATGAGGCAAATGAAATATACTTGTTGGACACACCGGATAGAGCTTTTGGACCACCTCATGGAGTTGCCTTAGAGTCAGTTTTGTCAGAGTTTGTTAACAAAGTCTTGTTATATCACTTTCGGTTTGGTCATTTGTCTTTTTCTGCTTTGAGTCATTTGTTTCCAGATATATTTAAGGGAGTGTCTTTATCGAGTCTTCATTGTGAGTCGTGTGAAGTGGCAAAACATTGTAGACATTATTATTCAGTAAGCAATAAAAGATTTGTTTCTCCTTTTCATATTGTTCACTTTGATGTGTGGGGGCCATATCATTTGCCAACTATGGGGGGTTATAGGTACTTTATCCTTTTTATTGATGACTACTCTCGTTACACTTAGATTTATCTCATTTAATCTAGGGATGAAGTACCAGCTATTGTGTAAAAATTTCATGAACTCATCCTCACCCAGTTTAACACTCAGATCAAAATATTCCGTTCTGATAATGCTAAGGAGTATTTTGAGAAAACCCTCTCCGCCTATCTTGAAACTTTTGGGGTTATTCATCAAATTTCTTGTTCCTACACTCCACAACAGAACGAGGTGGCGCAAAGGAAGAACAGACATGTGGTTGAAGTTGCCAGATCCCTCCTGTTTGCATCCCATGTTCCTTTAAAATTTTGGGGAGATGTTGTTCTTACTGCTACTTTTTTTATCAACCGTATTCCCTCCCAAGTCCTTAACTTCAAAACCCCCTTTATCCTTATCTTCCCGGATGAGGATATTTTTTCTCTTCCTCTTCGCGTTTTTTGGTGCACTTGCTATGTGCACGTTCATAGTCATCAAAGGCACAAATTTGAACCTAAGGCTCGTAAATGTGTTTTTCTGGGATATGCTTCCACACATAAGGGATATTGCTATTTTGATCCAGTTAGTGGCACCTACTTTGTATCTCGGGATGTCACATTTGCTTAGTTGACTCCTTTCTTTAGCATTTCTCCTGAGGGGGAGAAATTTGAAGAGCCCTTTGCTATGTCTCTAGTTGTTCCTCTTCCCATTCCTCTTGAGTCTTATCATGAAGTGTCTACTTCTCCCACTGGACCTACCTCCGATATTCCTCCTCTTCCTCCTCCTCCTCCACCTTATTCTCCTATAATTCCTCCTCATTCTGTTCTCCAAAGGTGGTATCAAAGGCACAGATTCAGACATGGGCATGTTGTTTCCACTCCTACAGAAGAGCCTCTTGCTCCTCCCATCATTACTGAGGTAACAGGTCAGCCTTCTTCTGATCCATCTACATCTTTCCCAGACCTTGACCTTCATATTGCTCTCCGCAAGGGCAAGCGGAAGTGTACAGCCCATTGTATCTCCAAACACCTGTCTTACAACCATCTCTCCTTCCTACTACTCTTTTCTTGCTTTTGTTTCTTCCCATGTGATACCCAGGTCCGTACCAGAAGCCTTATCTAAACCTGAATGGAGGGATGCTATGATGGTTGAACTAGATGCTTTGCATAAGAACCATACCTGGTTTTCGACATGCACTTGTGTTATTAGTTTGACCTGGTTTTCGAATGAAACTACATGCATTTATCTCTTTCAAGTGTTAATGGACAACTTATAAAAATGGTTGTGTTTCAGGTGCTTTCATCTAATGCAATTAGTGGCGCTTTTGTCATTCAAGTGTCAATTGACGGCCTTTGTCACTAGGTCGTGTTTTCGACAGGTGTAGAGGTATCACATGGCCACCAAACCCACACCCTACTATTGCCACTAGCCCACCAAGCATCCAGACACCTTCTGGCTGCCCATCAGCATAATGACCCATACCGATGGTGGGAAATGGTGGTTCTGCAAAAGTACTTTTTCCCACCTTAGGGCTTCCTATGAGACCGAGCGTCTTCGCCTCTCGTGGGGACGTCCAAGGGACCTCACTCCACTCTGTGGATGTGGTACCGCCACCTGTCCATTCCCCGCCCCCCTTCGGGACAACGTGTTAGAAATGGCAAAACCACACACTGGCCTCTCCGACAGGTGCGGAGGTGTTCCGTGGCTACCAAACCCACACCCTCCTATTTCCATTGACCCATCAAGCATCCCGACACCTTTCGGCTGCCCAACGGCCCAAACCAACAGTGGAGAATGGTGGTTCTACAAAAGCACCATTTCCCACCGTCGGGCTTTCCCGTGAGCCCGGGGCATCTCTGCCTCCCACAGGAACGTCTAGGGGACCTCACCCCACTCCATGGAGGTGGTACCGCCACCCATCTACTCCCGCGCCGCCCTCTAAGACAACGTATCAGAAATGGCAAAACCACACAATGGCCACTCCAATAGGTGCGGAAGTGTTCCATGGCCACCAAACCCACACCCTCCTATTGACACTGACCCACCAAGCATCCTGACACCTTCTGGCCGCCCATTAACCCAACGGCCCAGACCATTTCTGACAACCTAAACCCTAAACCCCTAAACTCCAAACCTCAAACCCGAAACTCAAAACCCAAAATGCGATACCTATAACTTGAAACAAAACACGAAACCCAAAACCCTAAATCCTAATCAATTCATATAAATAAATTTTAACAATTTACTAGCATGGACACGTAGGATGGATGGGATTTCTCAGATGAAAGTGAAAGAACAAAGACTAACAACTATTATATGGAATTCAATGTTGTTTAAAATAATTGTTTTTTTATTTTTACAATTTACTACAAAAATAATTAATTATTTTGGACTAATCATATTAACTATTTGTAAAAAAATCATAAATTATTGATAATTACATAATAAAATAGTCATTTTTCCATATTATTTGCTAGTGTTATATTTTTTTTTGGTAAAACAAATCAGAAGGATATATTGATTGTTAGACATTGGAAAATTAATTTTAGCAAAAATCAATTTACTTCTTCATGCCTTTCAGTATTATTTAACAATTTTCAATTCTTTTTTAAAATTATTTTGCATTCTTAGTATTTTTTAATATAAATTTGCTTTTTTTTGCCTTTTTAGTATTTTCTAATACAATTATTTTTTTATAAATATTTTGTATTTTCGGCATTTCAATATTTTCAATACTTTTCAACATTTTAAATAAATTTTCCACAAATTACAGTTATTTAAAAATAATTTTCAGTATTTTTTGCATTTTCACCCTTTTTAATTAGTAATTTGCCATTAATTATTACTAATGTTTAAATATTTTTTCATTGGAAAATTATGTGATTTATATGTTCAATGATTAATAAGTTCAGAATTTATTTACTACTAATTATTAATAATTATTATTTCACTAATAAAAGTTTTCATAAATTTGAGTAATTTATTTCATTAATCAATAATTATTTTAGTAATTTCAGTAATTTCAATAATTAAAATATTTTCATTAATATAAGTTTATTATTTTCAATAGCATAATTACAATAATTTCAGTAATTTGAATTTGTATCATTAAAATAGCACATATGTTAGTAAATTTCAACAATTGAATTACTTAAATAAGTAATCATTTAATTACTCCTGCAACTTCTCCACAAAAAGCCTCCATCCTGACTTTTTAAACCCTTCTGGAATGCATACCATCTTCCTCGTCTTCTCTGAAGCATTATGTCACCATTATAAACCAACCCTTTTTATTATTTCTTAGTTCAGCTATAAACATCTTCCTCTCAATCTTCAAATGGTCCTTCCATCCGTTCTCTTTTTTTCCATGCAATGCTCCATCCATAAAAGCCTTTCACCCAGATCAATGCGTCCCTGAAGAGAAAAATGGTGGTTTTTTTTTTCTCCTCCCTGATCTTCAGGCAGACCTGGCCTTGTTTCTACACTCCTCAAAAACGAACTTCTTTGCCTCGAAAGCCAGGTCCCTTCTCCATCTTGCAACTGGCCTATGGTTTGCAGCCTCCTTCTCCATCCCTTTTTCTAGCTACTGATTTTTGGAAGGAGTTATAAAATGATCAATAGGATCAGTAACCAATGGACAGGCAAGGAACTTTAATCAAAGAACTCTTATGCAGCCTTCTTTCAAAGATATTTTTTAATTTGACCATAACAATCATTAGAAGTAAGCATTTAATAATTCTCTTCATTCCTTTTGATTTGTATTATGATTAATTTGTGCATTAACAATTATGAAAAATCTTTAACAGACATCAAAAATACCAGTTGCAATTAGAATTCATCAAGGGTCAGCCTTCGACCCATATTTGTTTGTAATAATTGTGGATTAATTGACTAAGCATGTGTAGGAGGAGGTTCCATTGTGTATCTTGTTTTTTGATCATAGTATTGATTGATGAAATAAAAACTATGGAGAGATGCTTTTATCATCAAATGATTTCACACAAGTTTTATTGGAGACTAATTCAAGATTATGAGAGATGGCAATCTTTTGTATATGTACCCACCCACATTCCAATATGTGTAGGAATGTAGAAATGGCAGGAAAAAAGTTAAATATGACAGCTACGAGACTGTTCTATATATATAAGAGAGAGAGAGAGAGAGAGAGAGAGAGAGCAGAGGTTCTCAAAACCTAAGCAGCTAACTTTGGAGATCACTATAAGTCTATAACGAGTGTTGAAGCCAACTTAGATCCAAGTTGTGCAATATGGTGACCAATTCCAGACAGATCTGTATTACCAATGAATCTTATCTGCACCAAGCAAAAAAGAAATAAATAGCCATTAGGCCCATTACCCCACCAATCAAAAGATCAAAGCATATATGAAAAAACTTAAGCTAAAGAACTCAAACAAAGAAGGTTCTTAATCCATAAAAAATAAGGGGTAATTAGCTCCACAGTATTAAATGTTAGTCACACCAGCCAAAAACCTGAACTGTATTAGTCACATCTTTTTCTTATTCATCTATCTCCATAATATTTTCTCATTCTTTGTGATGGAGTAGGAGGGGTCTTAAAAACCTTGACAGTAATTGATTTTCTATTCATGATTTATTGCATAACTAGGGGAAAGGGCTCCCACTCAGGTGCTTTACAGTAAATCTAAATAAGCCAGGAATATCCCAATTGGGAAGCTGCTTGGGGGCCTAACACCCTTTTGTCATAGGAAAGATTTAAAAACCCATGTCACATTTCCAGAATAAGCCTTTTTCACAACTCTTTAACTTAAAAGGTTTCAACTTCACAATACCAGTCATGAAAAATAACAACAAAATTTTGCCTTTGGCTGATCTTAAACCAGATCAAACCCCCTTCTTTCTGTGAATGTGAATTAAGTAATTTCTTCTCATATGCAGAGCAACTCTTCTTTGGTAAAGAAAAGATTACCATCTTATGATTTGTCTGGGATAAGTCCATTTTATATTTCAGTTTGGAGATGTAGTAGCTTGACATGGTTATGTTTAACCACCAAAGTTTGTATAAAGCTGGATGTCTCCTACAATTTCTGAAATGAAACTAAATGGAACCAACATTTAACAAAGATAACCAATAAGTATCACTTTGAGAACAACAAAGATAACCACAAGCAAGAATCTTTCCAAGTCTAGTTAGCACCAAAAATGAAAAATGGGAATTTAAGCCTATAATCACACCTTTGACAGAACAGTGATGTAACTATTAAAGATGCTATATTCTAAGAAAACTTTCAATGAGGTATAGTTATAAGGATCATAAGCAAAGTTTGCCAAATGAGCAACTATTCTCTCCTTTGACTTTCTAAAAGAAAGATCCCTAAATCAAAAAACGAACAAACATCAATCCACCAAGTACAATACTAACAGTCCTACCTGGTAGACTGACCTGCCTAGTTTCTGTTGGTTTTAGTTCAGCCAATCCAATTAGGGGGTGCAAGAAAGGTACCCAAATTGAAACTTTTACACTGTTGCAAGTTAGGGCTTTTAGGTCAGGCCCACTCTAATTTTACCAAATTATCAACCTGAGCCCACCCAAGTTGTACTTAAGTTTAGTCAGATCCCTATTTTTAAGGGTTTCTTCAATTTTTAAGCATCTGGTATTTCAATTTTTTTCGTAGGTCTTGTATTAGAAGTCAATTTGTCCTCATAAATTCATGTCAAACTTGCAATATATCAACAAAATAAAAGACTATTTGTGGACGATTTTATACAAGTTTTTCTTAGCTCTAAAGTTGTTTCATCTATGTGTGAGTTGGAAAGTGTTTAAAAGTTTTAGTCATCTTATGTGAAATCTGCTTCTTTGAGATCTGAAGACATTCGATGGATCTCGACTTCCATTCTGATCCACTCGGGTGTCTACTGATGTGTTTCTTGTGTTGGTCATGCTGGCTCTGATACCAAATTGTTAGGAACCTACCTAACTCAGGGCTCTTCGAGGGGCCAACCTCCTGAATTCTTAGAAGGAGAGAGAGAGAGAGAGTTTAATGCTGAAAGAGTCCTCCTCTATTCCTTTTCTGCTCTACTACTTGTAGTGTTACAATCTTGACTGTTACAGCTGTTACAAGTGGATGGCAGTTGTTACAAGTGGCTGGTTAGTTGAGCTGATGTGGCCTCCTCTTGTAAAACTGACTAACTGCCTTCTGTTGGTCTGTTCCAACAGTCTTGACAATCCAATTGGATGGAAGTTGTTACAAGTGGATGGCAATTATTACAAGTGGCTGGTTAGTTGAGCTAATGTGGCCTCCTCTTGTAAAACTGACTAACTGCCTTCTGTTGGTCTGTTCCAACAGTCTTGACAATCCCCCCTTCCTTTAGAGTGACCTTGCCCTCAAAGTCTAATGTAGGAAAATTTGATTGCAGATCTAAGTAGGAAAATTTGAGTCCATTTGCATGAATATGGGCTGATTTGGGTCTCCTCTTTGCTTTGTCAATGTTGCAAGACTGATGGGCCTTGGGCCCTTGCATGTCTGCCCCTTGTAGATGGACTGTAGAGTTTCCTGATGTGAAGTCCATGGTGAGAGGGATCCAGTCACAGACCACGGGTCCTAGCTGCCTTAACCATTAAATGCCTAGCACCACGTCTGCTCCACTGAGATGGAGAGGATATAGGTCCACCGCAAACTAATGACCCTAAATCTTTAGTGGTAGGCCCATGCAAATGCTATTGCAAGATAGGCTGTTACCGTTGGCCACATGAACCGTAAAGGTCATTGTTGGTTGCACCGGAAGTCCCATTTTATCCACCAAGACTTGAGTTATGAAGTTAAGGGAGCTGCCACTGTCTATGAGRATTGACACTTGGCGTCCTAGAATCAGCCCTGCAATTCTCATTGTTTGAGGGAACGCAAGTCCCGTAAGGGCTTGTAAGGATATTTCAGGCGTGCCATTGGATTGTATTTCCCACCCTGGGTTAGATTCTCCACACCCGGGGATGTCGTCTTCCTCTTCGGCATCTGTTTGGAGGAGAAACACTTGTTGTTTCTTACAGTGATGACCCGGCCCAAATTTCTCTTTGCAGTTGTAACAGAGACCTTTGTCTCTACGGGCTTGCATCTCTGCCCAAGCCAGCCGTTTGAAAGGAACCAGTGGGCCTGGGCCCAGTACTCCTTCCTCCTTGTCTGGTG